TATACACCTGTCCTACTTCCAGCTGCAATGGGGATACATTAAACTCAATTCTTTGCAAGTTAAAGCCAATTCCAACTCCAATAGCCTTTAAGAAGCTTTCCTTTAAGGCCTAAAAGACACAATAAGTGTATTTTATTCATAATGGCTGTTTTCAAACTGTTCTATAAACATTACCTCTGACTACAAATGGTAGACAAAATAAATTTAAGACTTGTACTACTCTAAATGTGAGGGTAGACTGATGCAATCATCAAGAGAAAAAGTTATCAACGTTGTTAATACCCAGCCTAACTTTCTGCATTACAATAAACATGAAACTGGAATTACCCAGTGGCACATACAGATATGAACCCTCTACCTTGTTCTAGCTATGTATTTAAAATTAGTAATAAATCCTAGAAATGTCAACTGTACTATGATTGTCAAAGTAATTCTGATATTAAAAAAAAAATCATTAAAATATCAAAATTATTTTTATCTTCACATGAAATGGTATCAGGTAGCACCAGGAGACTTAGATTGGATATTAGGAAAAACTTCTTCCCTCAATAGGTTTTGAAGCACTGGGACAGGATGCTCAGAGAAGTGGTTGAGTCATCATCCCTGGAGTTCTTTAAAAGATGGGTAGAGGTGGTATTTAGGGACATGGTTTAGCAGTGGATTTGATGATCTTAGAGGTCTTTTCCAACCTAAAACATTCTATGATTCTCTCCAACTATAAAAAGTAACATTTTTACTATGATGAAAATAATAAATTATATAAAAAAATGTGCATGTTTGCAGAGTATAAATAGGGAAAATAGTCTTACCCAGTGCCGATAAAACATATCCAGCTGCATCCATTCATTACTCATAGACTTGATTACATCCCACTCTGTCTCAGTAAACTGTCGCTTCATGATGTGAAAGAAATTTGGAACTGAGCTACTACCTATAAATTAGATAGAAATATTTACAGAAATTTTAATAGAGTAGCAATAATAAGCAAATGGATTACCTCTTGTTACTGCACTAGAAAAAACTCATAAGAAAAAAATTTATGAACCAACTCTGCTCTACAACTTGAATTTATATAGCCTCAAAGCAGCAAGCTGATGATTTTTCAGGACATAGTACGAAAAAAACACATTTCAATAGCAGAATTGCTGTATAAAAATGTGCAATTATGTATTTCCAGCATTCTCTAAAAAGCAAAGTATGTTACCTGTTCTGATTTTACATATATATAAAAATATTATATTAGCTACAAAAGTAGTATATACAGTCTCTGGCACATGACAACTTGATCTAGTAATATTTTATAAAACAGCATGCTGTTTGTCAAAATTCATCAATTCTGCCTTCTGCCCTAGGATGCTGTGATACAAAAGAAACCCTTTTTTAAGCACTTGTAGAATATAGTCTCCCAAAGTTATCACATACATATTAAGCCTTTTGGATTGGAATTATTCTACAAGGAAAATGGGGGTAGAGGAGTGCCCATAATAACAGTAAGATATATACCAAGGAAAAAGAAAAATCCCCCCTAAAAAACCCAACCTCAAATCACTAAACCTTCAAATCCTTAGATGAAATTTAAGCTTCCTCAGGGGCTATCTCACTTTTCCCCACTAGTGTAGAAGACTCTACAGAATGTGAGGTTATGTTGATCAATGGCATTTCTATAATACACTGGAAGTTATGGACCTCATTACATGCTTGGCTACTCACCCAAGAGCCTATATTAATTAGCATACCATGCAATCTGTCCAATTGAGCTTACTGCAGGCTAAAGAGACAATGGCAGAAAACAATCTATTTTCTTTAGTAGGGATAACAAAAGTCTGGACAGAGACAGTTCCGCTTATTGCATAACCTATCAAAAAATTTGTTTCAATTTTCTTATAAAAAAAATATTAGTCATATTTAATCTAAAAAACAGCCAGCCCTCCTAATACCACACTACTTTTAAGAACCCATCACTAGATAATGGCTTAAAAAAGGGGCAGATTCTAATTACACCTGCGCCAGTAATTCTGTGAGTTGACTATTGGCAAGGCACTTTCTTTCCCTACACTAATGTTTGCCATCTTAAATCAAAGATAAGGGTATTAACCCTTCTCTATAAAGTGGTTGCCTTCTATAGATATCTAAGCACTAAATAAAAACAGGTATTGACAGCAGTAATAATTGATCTGAACATTCAGGTTTTCTCACAATTTCCAAATCACACCGCAAAGCGTTACCTGACAAAGACATCACACAAGACATAGCAGTGACATTTCAGAGATGCTCTCAATTGCATTTATAAAGTGAAGAAAACATCTTAAGACTAAAATTTTGTTTACAGTTGCAGTAGTCAGCTAATGGAATGATTCAGAACAATCTAAGGGCAGAACTAACTTTTCTCTCTGGAGAGAGAAAAGTAACCAAAATGCTAAGTATGCTTTGATGAATTACCAAGACAAATGCCATATCCATCTACTTAGACAATCCCACTTCCCTGAAACAATGAAAAATCACAAAAAAATTTGTTGAACTTGGAGAAATGTATTTTCTTTCATCTGTGTTTATATGGCCCATTTTAGAATCATCATCATCATGGCTAGGCTTCGCGAACGAAGATTTGGGAAGGGCTCTACCCACGTTTGTTGCGAGTGCGTTGGTGGCTAAAAAGGCCAATACGAGACAGGCACGTCCGGTTGCAAAAGGCACAGCAGAAAGACTCCTTAGATGGTAAATTCTGCAAGGCACGATTCTTTCTGCGTTGTCTTTTCTCCCCAAGGGTGATCCTGCATGCTTTCTCAAAAGCATCAGCAGCATTATAGATGGTGTGCCTCCAGACCTCCCGATTGGAGGCCAGAGTAGACCAGTTATGGTGATCAATACGGCCAAGGCTGAGATGTTGTTTCAAGGAGTCCTTGTATCTTCTTTTCATGACTCCTCTCTTGCAGCAGCCGGTGGCAAGTTCACCATAAAGCAGGATCTTAGGGAGGCGGTGGTCCTTCATCCTGGAGATGTGCCCTGCCCAATGCAGCTGTGTTCTCATTAACATGGCCTCGATAATTGTGATTTTAGAATCAAATAACTGTGTTAATACCTGCTCCAAACAATCCACTTTTTTTTTTCTATTCTCTTCTTTTCTGGAGTATGTAAGACAACAGTGGTAAGGTTCCAGCCTCTTCTTGTGATTCAAACTATAAAACATTCCAGAATGTCCTGATGTACCTTTCCTCCTTCATCACTTTCAGAGCTCTCCTGCTTTCAATAATCCAGGGCTATTCACACTACCTGAGAAAACCATCCAAGACTATCCACACTACCTTCAGCACCCAGAGGCATATAAAGGTTCCTGCATTGTCAGTCCTGCCATCTAAACTTTATCACGCATAGTGAATACACTTGAGATTTGAACTGTTTAGTACACTAAGTGTATATCAAGCCCATATGCTACTGTTTCTTTTCCCCCCTCATTATTTGACTTCTTTTTTCGAAAGGTTTCTTCAACTGTTCAGCTACCCTTCTTGACACTTTTTTCAGACTTACATAGTACTTTCCCATCCACTCCAGCCATTTGTCACATTCTTCTTCCGAAAAGCTCAGGCACCACTTTGTCCTTCAGTGCACTCCCCTCCTGTCTCCTTACTGCAATACAGTTGCCTTGCTCTGAGGAATGGATCAGAGGACCTTGGACTACTATTCTCCATAAATTACTAGCAGTACTGCAGCCTGCCTAGTCCACTTCTCCATCTTCGCTTCAGTATCAGAGAAAGATTCACAGAATTATGAGGAAAATTTAGGTTGAAAAAGGTCTTTGGAAATCACCTGGTCTGACCTTCTGTTGAAAGCCAGAGCCTTATGCTGGGTTACCCAGTGCCCTGTCAAGCAGAGTATTTCACCTCTTCTCTCCAATATTAAGCCTGGAAAATAAACATGCTATATACAGATAAATGAGCATGTTCATATGTGTGTATACGTGTGCGCGTTTTGGATTTTTTGCAATAACTATTTACATTGGAATACATAATGTCATCTTTTCTACTGCAATGAGAACTAGGTATTTTATCGATTTTTTTTAAAGACCAGGCAAAAAAAATCTGCTTTGCATTTTCCTTTTAGAACAGCAAAACCTTAGATCAGATATAAAAGACTGATTTTAAAAAGATGCAGGAGTGAAAAGTAACAAAACATACTATGCTCTCTAGTTCTGTATTTGTATGTGCTTTAGAAATAGCACACAAATACAGGGTAATTTCCCCCATTTCTCTACCTGCTAAAGAAGCCAAACAAGTTGCATTTGTAGGAGGATAAAAGACAATTAGAAATAAGATCCATGTAAATTATGATGCTATTAACAGTAAAGATTGCTATTCAGGGGGCTAATATAGAAATCTTCATACTATTTTGTTTACACTGTTAACAAACATCAGGTCAATCATAGGTCTGCTTTGGTAATACAATGTGCATTTAAAGGCAGGGTACCAACTTGTACCCGAAGTTATTAAAATCATGACATGCCGTCTCAAAAATAGTGAAAAGAGTAGATTGTCTCCAATTCGTTTTTTACCAGGTTCACAGTTTTCAAAGTGTTTGGGTCACAATTGGTTCAAATTGTTAGTGTTAAAACTATCTAGCTTATACTGTGATCTATATCCCAAACTATGGAAATTTAGATCTAAAAGCTACCACTGCCACTTCATTGATCCACTAACCCCCTGAAAAACCAAACAAAGAAAAACAAACCCAAACAAGCACTCAAACCAAAAAATACAGTACAACCCCCCAGAACGCTAACAGCCTCCTCACTGCCTCAAACTGCATAGAAGAAACAGGTCAGTGACCAAGAACTAATATCTAATCAATACCTGTTTTACTTTCAGATGGCAAATAGGCAAAGTGGCAGTGTGACACGTACTACCTAGCAAGATGAAGATCTGAAGCAGGAACAGATCAATCTACTTAACAACAGGAAACACACAGGCTAGCTATGAATCTTGCAAACTAACAAACTGTATCAGATGGATGTTTCAAGCCCTGGACTCCTGGTCTGGCAGTACTTTTGGTGTAGACACAAGCCGTATTTGATCTTATTTTACTATCTCTAAAGGAAATCAAAGTGAACTGATACAGAGAAAACATTTTTTCTGCAACAGATGCCCAAGCCCTAATTGTCTTATAATACCCACTAACCCTGGTAGAGGTGTTTCAAACTGACAACACAGGGCAAATAATTAAGTAGCTAAATCATTAACTTAGAAGAACCAGATAGAATATTAACAAAGCATGTTTTTTCAACCTACTAGCTCATGCAGCTTTACTGTGAACTGGAAATTGGATTTATATTCTCTGACCTCTACACTTCCTACCAATATCCTGCAGTTCTACTAATGATACGTATGTTAAACATTCATTCTCGTCATGTAACTATTGACATGTACTACCTTGGTGTACCTCAGAGAAACAGCACTAACTTTAAAATGGCTGAAAATTTGATATTGCTTCCTATGAATTACTCAACATTTCCCAGATTGTAAAAAACAGAAAGGTCATAAAGAGACTGAAATAATTTGATAATGTTTGATATTTTCTCTGCAGTTAGATTTATTAAGTCTTTTCAATATTAGAGAAACTGCTAAGGTTTCAATCATATTACTGTAGTGGAGTCTAACAGCAGTGATGAACGTTTAAGCAAGCTGCCTTGATACTCAATGCCAAACCAAAGAAAACAGTGTCATAATGGCTTAGATACCCCTACCTCCAAAACTTCACTGGAGAAATAACTGTTTTGACACAGCTATGACTTGGATAAAAAAACCATGAAGAAAAGTCACAAGCTGTTAACTGGATACCTCATATCTGATCAATTTACAGACAAGTAGTGTATGATCCGCAACATATTTATGCTTTTTGTCATTTGTTCTGAAAATACATAAAAAAAAGTCAGATGCTCTC